AAAGTTCCTCAAGTAGAGAGATTATCAAAAGGATTTGGGTTTTCAAGCTATGTTTGGCAAAGAGAAAACTCAAAGTGGAAAAAGGTTGTTTTTATCAAAAGGAAAGTTGAGTCAAGGATGTCATAACATTATGTTGAACACCAGCTTACTCATGCTACAGGCGTATACTTGCACTGAAGATATCTCTTATGTGATGAGTTGATTTTAACAATTTTAGTTATTTTCTCAAAGGCCAAGTTCAGTTTTGTTTAACCAAGCAGTGGTTAATACATAGGGAATGTGATACTTGTATTATCTCTCATATCTTTCTTAGATCTCCAACTAAGATGATTGTTATTTTGACACAAATTGTTCCAGACACTTAACTGCAGTAAAAGTGTTCCTGGTGGTTTGTTTAAGTCTCATTCCATCATTGTTTATTGTGTTCTTGATACAAAAGAAATGATTAAAGGCATTGGATATCTAAAGAATTCAGGATGGATTCTCTAAGTTTTGGTAATTGGTTTTCTTCTTACTCAAAGACTGGTGACTATTATAATAAACACAAGTTAGTTGTGTGATCGAAGTCTGAAGGTATATGTCACCAAAGATGAATTGTTTGTCACTAATGAGGTGTGTGAAGTTCCTCTGAAGATTTAAGAACAATTTCTATTTGTGAATTTCACAAGTATTTAGTTGTTTATCCTTTTACTTGGTGTTCAAGAAAGAAGAAGTCAAGATGTCACACCAGAAGATACAACATCAGACAGTTGCAAAAGTTTTAGAAATTGTTATATGGATCTGTTTGGTTCAATGCAAGATGAAGGTCCTGGTGGATATAAAGGTGTATATGATTTTCTTTTGTGTCCTTTAACAAAGTGAATCTACTATCTATGAAGTATTCAAAGGGTCTTATCTACTCCTTGAATGAGAAGAAGTTATGTTTTTTAGTTACTTTATTAAGAGAAGTACTTTTAGTGATGAGTAACTTCAGAATAAAAATCAGTGATGTTTTCATTGAGAACGGTACTGATGTTCAACCATATGTTGGAACATCATCACAGTAGTTTGTTACTCCAGTGTGTGCAAGATTCTAAATGGCTACGAGGCACTGAATAAGGAATCTTTCAAGAAATCATTTTAGAGGGAGTTCATTATTTGGAGTTTGCTTTGATCTGTGATCATCATGTATTTCAGAGATGAAATATTAAATGATTGTGAGTCTTGGGGTAAAAATTTATTTGCCAGGTCTGAAGAAGATCGTATTATTGGAGGATATTTTGATCACTTGGATTAGAATTAATTGAATCCTGGTATATCTTAAAGATTAGGTACATTGTTGTAGAAATATATGTTTTCAATTGGGCCAGTTACTAAGAAAGTACAATGTCAGCTTGAATGTCATAATATTGTAGTATGATAAGCCAACACAATCAAGACACTCAAGGTTTCTATTCTGTTTACAAAATAAAGTCATGAGTTTAAGTCAACATTATGTCAATGTCTTTGTTTCAAGCAAGTTTTTTACTCTCATAAACCTGGTACATCTGAGAAGCTCTAGGAAGTGTTCTCATAATTTGAGGTGCAAGTTACATTGAGAATATGAGGGGTATTTTTGAAATTGCACTACTGAAGAATTTTAGTAAAAACTGTGTGGTATCAGAAAATTATTTTCAATGACATGAAGAATATCATTTCAAATATTGTAACATTGTCTACAGTCAAAGTTTTGAAAAGATAAAAAGTTGAACAAGAAAGTGTCTTTCTCCTATTATGAAATGTGCACTGTTACTCAAGAAGATTTTATCTTCTTCCAACAACATTTACATTGATTGCATCATTGTTACAAACAAGGTTTCATTACAATCAAATTAACTTCCCTTGGCTTTAAATACTGTCTACCTTAACATCCTCTTTTCATGTGTTTCAACAATGAGCAAGTATTTTAGAGATGATGGTATTAAGAAGGTTCATCTGCTGGAATCCAACAAGGATAAGAGTTGTGATCCTAAGAAGGTTGGGTTTAACATTGCAGAAAATGTTGGAACATCCTGGATAGTGAGATTATCTGTGACAGAGATGAAATCCTTAAGGAAGAATCGGGTTCATTTACATGATTCAGATTTAGATGCTGATGAAGATTGGGTCAATTTCATTGACTCGGGAGGGAAAATTAGAAATTTGGTAACTGGTATCTTGTATATATATGTTTGTGTGTCTGTTGAGTTTTTTTTTTTTAGGAGAAACTTACACTTGCTCTTTGTTTCTTTGGATTTTTTGTGTTTTTTTATTGAGTCAGTCCTGCTTGGGGGAGTTGTTTTCCCTTAAGTCAGTTTGATGCTTCTAGTCCTGCATCATGTTATTGAATTTGTTTTTTTTCTTTGTGTTTTGAATTAATTATTTCATGTTTTGGTTCAATTCTTTTTTTTTTGTCAAGTTCTTTTCAATCTATTTTTGTTTATTTTTGGTTAAAAGGGGGGAGAAAAGCAGTAGTAGATCTAGGTCTAAGTCAAGTGTTGTTGCTTGTTATATGTAATATTTTAGGGGGAGCATGATTTCCCATCATGTGAGTCTTAAGTCTGTTCTTGCAGTTGGTTTGCCAGGATATTTCGTAGGATGTTCTAACATCCTACTTGAGTCTGTGTGTCTGAGTCTGTGTTTGTGTTTTTCTGTTGTGTCTTGTGTTTTGATTTATGAGCATAGTTGTGTCTTGTGCTATGAGTTATCCAGAATTGAGATATGCTCTTATGAGATTTCACCTGGAAAGTTCAGGGTGGTAAATGGGAATTGTGTTTGAGGAGGAGTGTCACTTATCTTTTTCCTCATGTACAAAATTTACATGTTTAGCATGTAGCTTGTGTTGGCATTCTGTGGTTTTATTCCTATTCCCATGTTATTTGGTATTTGGTTGTGTTAGCTAAAATTTGACAAAGGGGGAGATTGTTAGTACCATGGTTTCGTGGATTGGCAACATTTTGCTAAAACATGGTTCTGATTAGATGTTGAACAAGATGTCGTAACATCCTATTCTGATATGCAGCATGCTTGCATTGCTGTCTTTAAGTCTTGACATATTTGATTTGATTATGTTATATTTCCTTTGGATATATATATATATATATATATATATATATATATATATATATATATATATATATTATATTTTACAGGTCAAGAAGATTTGTTTTGGAACATATTTGTATCTCTAGTTGTGCAAAAGTTACTAAATTTAGCCTTGAAACAATTTAGGAAACTATGTATTAGTTGTTCCAAGATTTAGAAGATTTGCTACACAATTATTGTACCACTCAGGTTATAGATCAAGAAACTTATGGACTCATAATATCGAAGCCCATGGACTGTAGAGTTGTATTTAAAGGGAAATCTTAACCTAATGTAATTTAAGTTTTCAACAATTGTAAAATTAGGGGAAGCATAGGTCTTAAGTTTTGAGAGTCTCTTGTGTAGTTTGTAAGTCACTCATGTATCTTTTGATACTATGTGATTGACTGATTGTTGCTTGACTGTCTGTCAAGTTATTGTTCTCACTCGAAGCTTTTAAGCAAGAGTTTGAGTTTTTATATTTGAAGTGTAATCTTCTAAATTGGGTTGTATTTCCTGCAGTCACTGGGATTGGGACTATTAGATATCACTGAGGTGATTTAGAAAGTGAGATGGAGATTTCTCATATCTAGGAGGTGCCTAGATAGAAGTAGCATTGGGTAGAGATTAGGCGAGAAGTTGTAAACGATGAAGTTTAGCTTTGAATTAATACTACTGATAGTGGGCTTCCTTCCCGACTTGGTAGCCCCCAGAATAGGTGATGTGTCACCGAACTGGATTAACAACTCTATGTGTTATTTGTCATTCTGCAGTTTTATTTATGTATCACTTATAGCTTAATTGATTTGCTCTACTATCAAATGTTGTAACATATGTTTTAATATCATTATGATGTTGGGGTGTATGTATATTGCATGTACCAGAATTTCAATAAATTTTGTATGCATATTATTTTCACTTTTTTAAGATCTAAACGAAACTTTTTTTATTAAAAATATTTGTTACAACATACCAAACGCAAACAAGAAATAAAATGAAATCACGACTAAAACAATAACACATACGTCAGATAAAATGACAACACATACGTCAGATAAAATGACAACACATACGCCAGATAAAAATAACATCAATAGCACGACAAAATATCTAAGAAATTACAACCGTCAAAACAATTTCATCGGATTCATGCATCATCACCATTACGTTTGTTTCTGTTTTGACTTCCTCCAACCAATTGTGAGGTCTTCCAGTGACAAGTGAGGTGATGGTTCTTCTTCTCTTGATCCTTCTAATTTGTTCGCCAACTTGAATTTCCTCGTTTAACCATCAGATCAACTCTCTCTTAAGACGCTTCATGGAATGAATGTGCCAATGAATGTGTCAAAATTTCATTTTAATCGAGGATTTCCTAGCCGAGAAAAAACATACCCAACGCTTTTGAAAATGATCTCAGATGTCATGATGAAAAAAATAGAGAGAAAGTGTGAAGAATGGTTGAGAAATAAGAGTTTTATTTATAGAAAACGCAGATACATGTAGGAGCCATATAAGATGGTCCCTACTCTTAAAATTAGAAAGCATATGTCATCCCACATGACTTGATAGTACTATAATCAAATTCTAAAATATAGTTACTTGTGTCATTTTTTTTAAAAGATGGTTATTTGAGTTTTTTTTAAACCTAGTTATTCAAAAAAATAATTCAAAAGAGTGATAGATATTTTGTTTTAATATTTGCTTTAATTTTTTAAATAAATTATTATGATGTAAACACTTCTAAAGTAATTTAAAATCCACAATAAAAGAATCACTTATTGAGTGTCACACTTTGAAATCCACAATAAGAGTGTGTCACACTTTGATCTCTTGAGTATGTGATTAAGGGTTTTATCTTTGCTTTTGTTTATACAAGAACACTAATTGAGATAATCACTTATTTTAACATATTTCTCAAGCACAACTTTAAATATTCAAGCACAACTTTAAATATAATGTATCTAATTAACGTTACAGGTACAAAAATTCATTTTACTACCAATATAAACTATGAAATGAAAAAAATACAATACAACAATTTGCCAATAATGACCGGTAGTAAAGGAAATCCAGAAATTTTGGTGTGCACATTCTATACAGACGGCGTACCACTCATAATATTCAATATTCAATCTCCAACCATGAAAGCAAAAGTGAAAGAGAAAAAACATCCAAAACCAAACATACAAAAAAAAAACAAATATTTGGTACAAAGTTAATCCATCCAAATCGGGTTTTCCTGTTCATCACCAATACAAATGTCAAACTTCATTAGCTAAAAGTGAAAGTTGTTTAAAGAGTGCACATTCCTACGAGGACAAACTCAAATAATGGTAAACATCTTATATAGGTTTGATCTTGAAGTGAAGTGAAATAAGAGAGAACACAAAGCACTTCAAATCCTGCAAAAATAAGTATAATTAGCAAGAATAAACGAAAGATGCTAGCTGACATCAAACAAATCTAACACTGGGTAACTAACTAATGGGGAGGCACCTCCACTTGAGACCCCAAAGGCAAAAAAATATACAAGCAAAACAAGATAATAACATATCACAGGGAATATATAAATCACTCTCTAAAACATTGATGAAATACAGTCAAGAAATCACAACAATGGAATTCTAAAGAATCGGTCAAAACATTGAAACCATTACATCAACTATATTGAAATCCCAGCATCAATATCCTCTCTGAAAAATT